CGCAAACCGTGCCGAGCCGAACCGTGCCGTACTGAGCCGAGCCGAGTCGTACCACGCAGTGGAAAAACACCATTAGTGTCTCACCCTTACAGGCCTCAGACTCAGAACAAGGAGTGTCTTTTGGGAAGGTACATTTATCCCTTTCCGATGAGGAGATTGCAATCTGGCCCCTCTCCATTTCCAGGCTGTGATTGGCTGTTTGCATCAGAGTGGGGGGACACGGTGTGGCCCACCTTTCTTTCCTCCTGTGGAACTTATTTGCATAGTCCAAACATGCATTTAGAAAAGTGTCACTAAAGTTTTACCGGTGCTTTTCTCACTTACCAAACCAAAACCATAATACCTTTGGCAATATTACGAACACATTAAGTCCAAACATGATGGGAAAAGATTGAACTGCCATGCATGCATTCATTTGTCCATTAACAGCTGAGTTTGTGTAAGATGTTGCACTACACGTCGCTGTCACTGAGAATACTTATTTCTCTGAATAAGTATAAGATGTGTGTGTTGTAGTTTGCATCAGTTTAAGGTTTGAGAACATAGTTATGAATGGATTTGGATGGAACTCTGTGATCTCTCTTTGTTTCACCCACTGCTGCTGCGTCCAGAGGTCCTAAGGAATTGTTATGGTGGTCACAGGCCAAAACCTTAGGAATCAGTCTGTTGGGGGGTGAAGGGCAGAAACAGCATTTTGACCAATGAGAAGTCCTGTCATTCCCGGGCTTCGTACCAAAGGTCTTCTTCTTGCCCTCTAAGAGGTGTCTGGCTGTTGTCCTGGCATCTTTATCTGATGGCCTTGGAGAGTTTGCTTATGTTAGTCCACCAAGATCCAATCAAAATGTAGCAAACCTTTGTCCACTATACTGGTCAGAGAGGGGCCCCGCCATAAACTGGGCCCTGGAATGTGCTGTCCACTACACCATTCTGAATACTACTGCTTAATGTGATCATTAGATGTGCAAAAGTAAAAATTCCACACACACAATCATCATATTAAACAAAGTTAACAGAGACCCTGCATACCTGTCTTTATAGCTAGGATCCAGTAGCGTTGCAACTGAGTATAGTGGCTCAGATTCTACATCTCTGAAACGTCTGATTAACAGCTTCAAGGAGGGTGTCTTTCATGGTTTTAATTCCCTCGTCAGCCTCGTTTTCTCGTGTGAGAGCACATTTAAGGTCAGTGACGATGGGGATGACATCGGCTGCTGAAGCAGATGAAGAGCTTACCTCTCTTGTCAGCTCCTCAAATGGGGCTACAACTGCAATGGTTTTTTCCAGTAGCCCCCACTGGTTTGCAGTCAATGTGGCGGGCACTTCGTATTCTGCTGGGTATGCGCTCAGAGGCCGTTTCTGTGCAATGAGGCTCTCGATCATATAAAAGGTGCTGTTCCACCTCATTCGTACATCTTGTTGTAGCCACTTTGGTGGCATATTCAGCTCCACTTAAGGTCCTCCCAGTGTGAATAGGCAAGAGGTGAATGTTTGAAGTGACTCACGATTTTTCTGCTGACAGCCAGTGCGTCACTTACACTGTGCTGTGCTAGCAGTCCCTCGTTCACAATAAGTTGCAGGGTTGGCAAGTCCGTGGTTTCATCTCCCCACCACGAAACGCGATTGGACAAGTTTTTTGAGTAGCAATTGAGAGTTGTTGTTTTTTTGGGTGAAAACCTGGCAAACCTGCGTGACGCATGCTGCTCATCTCTCTTACGGCATGTCGCTCAGATGTTGTTAAGCATTTGTATGACAGTTTAGGACTAAGGTGCGTGCTCGTATCGGTTTATACTCCTTTGACTCCTACAATATCCGATCCAGTGATTTTGGCCAGTATCGGATACGGAATATCGGATCGGCGCACCCCTATTTTAGACGAAACCTGCGCTCCCTTTCACCCTCCCATCTTTCCTCTGTAGTGTCTTCCTCTCTTCCCTCACCTACTAATTTCTCATCTCTGGATGTGAATGCAGCAACTGACACTTTATGCTCTACTTTAACCTCTTGTCTAGACGATATTTGTCCTCTCTCCTCCAGGCCAGCACGGGCTGCCCCTTCAAACCCCTGGTTATCCGATGTTCTTCGTGAGCATCGGTCCAAACTCAGGGCAGCAGAGAGAAAATGGCGCAAATCAAAAGATCCGTCAGACCTGAGTATGTATCAGTCTTTGCTTTCATCTTTCTCTGCCCAAGTCCATACTGCCAAATTATATATATATTTTAATTAATAATTAAATTCATGCAATATAAAGTTAAATCCCAACAAGCTTATTAATCTATTTTAAATGTATTATATTATTATTTTTTCACATGGTAGATCTCGGCGAGTTTCTGATTTGAAAAGTAGCTCCCCACACAAAAAACTGCCTTAAACTGTGAACAACAGCGAAGTGTTTTTAACTCTATATGTGACATTATTCTCATCACAGTCCAACCATCACATTTGGTTAACTTATTAGAATCCTAACCCAAAAGGCAGATTCAAAAACTAGAAATACAGTAGAAATACTGTTTTTATGGGCGTACAAAACAATTTTTATCCCGGTCTTTTTAGTCAGGAATGCCCACAGTCTTTTAAATCCATTCACAAACCTTGTCTTTTATTATTATTATTATTATTATTATTATTCGTTAGGCCTATATTTGTATATTTATTGTTACGTTGGCAATATATGCTTTATTTCCTCCAATTCATGCATCTATTAATGCAGCCTATTCATGTATCTTTAACTGCAATTCAGTTTAGTAACACAGTTGTAAGAAATTCAGAATCGGGTAGAAATCAGGTGCTTACTATTCCACAGCTCATATGACTTTCTAACTACAACCACTAAATCTAAACTACACCCAGTAATCACAGTTTTACGACCTTCATGCTCCAAAAGTTCTTTTTAAGGAAGAAGTTTCTTTTTGTTCTTGGTGTTCTGTTCTGCAGGTTCTGGATCTCTCGTGCTCCGTGTTCTTTCTCGAACTTTATTGTACATGATTCAACGACGTGGAAATGTCCTTTTTTCACTTTAGAAATCAAAACAAAGATACGCATTAGTGTTCCGTCCGTAAACTCTCTCGTCACATTATTATCTGCATACACAGCGAATCACACAAAACACTCGTGATATAAACAAATACAGTATATACAGACATTATGCCTTTTCGTGGGAACTTCATAAACTGGTAAACCTTAGAAACGCCGATGAACCGTAACTATTCATTCCTGCTGGAAGCAACATCACTCCGAAGACTAATGCACGTCGACATAAGAGTCCTCGTATTACAAGACACTTTATACATAATCAAACCCACAGCATATCACAAATAATTACAAGACAATGAATTACAATAAAGTCTGTTACAAAACCACTTACTGAATCGATGCTACTGTGACTGACTCAAAATAGAAATGAATGTGAATTCTTGGTCAATCTAACATTTAAAACCATTTTTTTATGCTTACTTTTATTTGCCATATGAACAGACAAATATATACAAACATACAAATAAACACCACAATTATATCACAAGTGGTTTGTTTCCACCAATGTAATGAGCTTTAAGTGTCAGTTTACAGCTGATCTGAAGACATCAGCCTCATGAATGAGAAACCGGAGCCACTGAAATGCATTCGCACCGAAGGAATGTTTTCATGACTATTGGTGGAAGCATCTGCTTTTTTGGCGTGTTCACACTGCAGGAACGGGAATGAGTTTAGCTATAGGAACGCTGCTGTAGGGGACTAAAACAAAAAGAGTAGAGCCAAATCCAGAAGAATAGGAACTACACGTGTTGTAAGTGTACACTGATTGGCCGAACGAAACATAGACATGCACCTATTTTAAAAAGCTGTGCACTTATTCCACAAACTAACTCCACGAGCATGGAAAACTGTGATAAGTGGACCAATGCCAAAGTCCGAGCACTTCTAAACCTCTACGCTAAAGAGGAAATTCAACATGACCTTTGAAGGGATCGAGCGAAGAGCGATACACATTACAAGTTGAAACAAGTAAAACTATGCAGTTTTGTCTTTCTTTATTATACCTGCTGTGAACACATACTTCTGCTGGGGGGAAATGCTTAAGGCCCTTTGTAGAAGCGTCACTCCTTGTATACCAACACGGCACAAAGCATTTACCCTTTATGTTATAGCCTATGTGCACTTGTTTCTAAAATATCAATCTGACCCTTTTTTAAAGACTGCATCAGAGTCCTCGTTGGTTCGTTGGTTCTGATTTAACGGGAGATGCCCATATGATCAGGACCACTGCATGCAGTACCTCCAGCCGCCTGTAGGCGCCACCCAATTGGCCCAAACGACGGAATCCAATGGCGTGAAGGTGCATGTCTTTTCTGGCGCTTCTGCAAAGAGCTCTGCAACTTATTAAAGTTTGGTTTTTCAATTCACTTCTGACTCCATGAATGCTTTTGATCTGACTCCAACGGCAAGTGATTCTTTAATTTGACCACGCTACTGGTTTAACGTCTGATTAGTTGTGATTTAATTATTCCAGGTGTCCCTTATTTTCTATTACTCGGTTCATTAGCCCTCTGGGGTCCGAGGTGATTTTGGGGCCCTTGAGATGTATTGACATGTTTTGTGATAGCTATTGTCACTCCCTCTCATAAAGCTTGTCTATGAATATTTAGTGCTTCACACCTGAGAGACAAAGAGCCGTCCCCTAATAATGGCCCATCAGTGGGTCATGTGACTGTGAGGAGATTGATTTAAATTATTTGTACTTTATTTACAGCACAGTATAATCCAAACATACATAATGAAGGTCAGAGACACATTGAGCACGCTGATCTAACCAGAGATGTGAAACAGAGTATTAATAATAAACACGGTCTGAACATTCTTAGACTCGTAGCAATCATGCTACAGTGTACACTTATATTACTATTATATATATTGTTTTATATTATATAGAGCATGAAAACGTCATCATACATCATACTCAAAATGTTTCTAAAAATGCAATCAGTCCACAGTTTTAGGATCTAAGTTATCGAATCCTTATAATCTAGTGATGGTAAACTCTTTGTAAACGAGTAGTGAAATGACTTGAAATCACAAGTCTTGTCAAAGTGCTCACTGTAACAGATCAAAGCATATTGTGCAGATATCTCTCTCAAGTTCAAGTTGCTGTATTGGTATGACGTTTGTGTTACACACACACACTCTCTCTCACACACACACTCTCTCTCTCTCACACACAC